TGGTTCTCAAGTCAGGTGAAGCTGTACCTGCCTAGTTCCTACCCAGTTAGGTTAACTGACCCATTCTGGAAGGTGGGAAAAACAGGAACCCAAAAGGTGAAATCTGGAGACTGCTTGTTCCTGTGGTGCAGCGTGAACAACTGTACTGGATTGCTAGTTCAACTCTTAACAGGCTCTTCATTCTGGCTGTTACAATAGATACGTAGTATGTTTACTGCTAAGTTCTAAGGGAGAAAACCCAAGGAAAAGAAGGCAGGGCATCAGGAGGAAGAAAAACAACAGTGTTCGATCTAGTGGACAGACATCTTGGCTCAGAATACAGAAGAAGCTGAGGAAGTCGGCATGTGAAGTAGTAACTTCAGGGTCCTTAGGGCAGTTTAGAAGGTGTGACTGGTTCTGCTGAGATGTGTGTTTTACTACAGGTAAAGCAATTCCAGCAGAAAGGACTATAGGTAGAACTCTGAAACTGCATGCTCCTTCGTCTTCACAGGGGATAATGATAATAGAGGTGTTACCTCCATCGAGTTAGGGGGGTGTTGGCTGCTGACTGCTTTGTGGATTCCCTTCCCTATAAAACTGGTCACTTGCAAAGTCTTTAAATGAGAGAAAGTTGAGGTCAGTAATTTCAGTTGACAGAAATTTAATGTAGAAAATTTAAGAGACCTGTTCAAATGAACAATACACAGCCAGGTTTAGCTTAACCTTTAGTTTTGTTTTTATTTCATTCAACAAATACTGAGTTGCCTGTTTTGTGTTAAAATGTGAGGCATTGGGGAAATGTTAGTGATGAGACACACGTACCTCACCTCATGGACTTAGGTGTTAGTGAGCAGAAACATTCATGTCCAGCTGTCAGTTAATCAGCTAATTTTTTGCTATGACCAGCAAGTAATCTGAGGCCGGGAGGGGATGTAAGTACTTTACCTGAGAGACTGGGACTTGTCCTTGTTGAGGAAAGATTTTGATGACTGAAGGATGAGAAGGTGTTAGCCAAAAGAAGGGGAATAACGGTGACCAGAGTGTGGATTACCGGAGGGGGATGAGCAGGAGGAGGTTGGTGCTACCAGATGATGCTGGGCCTCTGGGGGGCATTAGCATTTTGTTAATCCTGAGAGCAGGGTGAGGCCAGTGAAGTGTGTGCTAGACAGGCAGTAGTTTCTGTGAGGAGCGTGTTTGCAGAGAGGCAAAAGTGGGCATAGGGTGCAAGTGGTGCTGGTTTGAGACAGGATTTGATGGAGTGAAGTGGAGTGTTGGAGGTGTTGAGATTGTGTTTGGCCAGACAAGTCACCTTTGGAAATCCATAAAGGATGCAGTAATTTACATCATGTTAAAAATAAAAGGAAAAGTCATTCCCTCATGGCTCTTCATTGTGGCTGATGAGAAGCTACACCAGCTAAAGAAAAGATGTGTGTTCACTGGTAAGTTCTAAAATAAAGCATAAAAAGGGAGACAGCAGGATGGGGCAGACAGGGAATTAAAGTGATCTCATTTGGAAGGATGAGTTTTAGACTCCACGAGGCTGCGGTTTCCTGTCAGACCTGCAGACAGACATGCTCAGTAGGTGCAGGGATGGTGTGGAGGGAGTCTGGAAAAGCAGTGGAAGCCACCAGAGTGGATGAGGTAGCTGAGTGGAGGTGGTGGAAAGCACAGGTTAATACCCCGGCACAGCTGCCCTCCAGTTCTAGGCATGCCAGGGATGCAGTGGGTGCCCACTGTGTTGTGGCAGCACCGATCTGAGAAGGTCTGTGGGTCAAGGTGGCTGCTTGTTGGTACTGCCGCAGGCACTGGGGCAATGGCTCTCTGGTCCTTATCAAGTCCAAGCTTGATGCTTCACCTACACTGTGCACTAAGTGTTGATGATACTAAAGGCCAGGTGCCATTCACATGCATTTGACAGATGAGGAAACTGGCTAGCAGAAATTCAGAAATGTGACCAGGCAGTGAAGGGATGACCCAGCTCAGGTGTCCTGGCTCTTGTTCAGCATCCTGCTGCCTCTACCAGTACCTAACATCTGCACCACTTCCTATCACAAACTTCTTTGCTTCAAACTTTGCTCCTGGTAGCTGACTGGCAGAGGAGCCCTAACACCTATGGCATTGGCTCTGTTCCCAAATGTATTATGCCATGCCCAGCTGTGCAAAGGTGGCTGCAAGACAGCTTGGGTGGCACAGATCTGCCCCCCAGATACTCTCTCTGTCTCAGCTTGGTTTGCCATAACAAAACTAATTGTAAACTGGGTGGCTTAGACAACTAAGATTGATTTGGAAGCTAGAGTTGCAGATTTCAGGCTGATTTGGGTTCTGGTCAGTGCCTTCTTCCTGGTTTGTGGATGGTTGTCTCCACTGTATTCTCACAAAGCCTTGTCTTGGTGTATATGCACAGAGAACAAGCCAGCAGGCTCGTTAGGGTCTCATTAAGGACATGAGTCCTCACCTGTAACACTTGCAGCACCTTAATTTCTTACTCCAAATGCAGCCATTCTGGGCTTAGGGCTTCAGTGCATGGGTTTGGGGAGAGCACATGCATTTGTTCAGTGGATAGCATCGTCCACATATCCAGTCACCACACTGCAGTCCAATACTACATATCAGCAGAGGGCAGACATGAACTTGGCCACATCCCTACTGCTCCAGGAAAATTGGGTTATGCCTAGCATTTAAAACAAAAAGACCCCATGGTTGCTCAGCAAGTCCAACACCAGCAAAGGCAAAGAAGTTTGTTTTCACAGTGCTGGCTAGTAGAGAACTCAATTGATTGGTTGTTTTCTAGGCGCAGCTTTGTGTAGCCTTAGTCGCCCAGGAACTCGGGCCAGAAGTATCTATTTAAAGTAGTGAAATCTCTTGCTTCTGGAGGTCAAAGCCACTTGGACTCTAGAGACATCAGACACATACTTTGCAGGTTGTATCTTAGTAGTTTTGGGATTTAACCCCTTGATGCCTGCACCAGAGTAAGCAATTATGAGAGCTTCCTGGGTCACTCTGACTGTGGCTGATACTGACTCAGTACCAACAACTTGCATACCAGTCGGCCTCTCCTGTTCTCCCCTAAGGAACCAGCTCTTAGTGTTTGTGGCCACAGAAGACAACTGAACTTGCAATACATTTGGCATGGGTCAGCTGTCCCAGTCAGTGGTGCTGCCCCACCACCATAACTCAGTTATAGTAACAGCCTACATTCAGGTGCTGCCTTTGCTCCAGCGTGTTACACTGGTGATGCTGTTCTGTGTAAATGCTGTGAAACCAAATGGTTTAATACATATTTCAGAGATAAAGAAACATCAAGTAATTTGCAAATGGCCACATGGCTAGTGAGCAGTGGAGCCAGGACTTAATACCAACCAGAGTCTGTGTTTCCTGCCACCTGCATATTACCTTCAGGTCTGGCCTCTGGGACTTAATTAGTTCCCTACTCCTCACTGCCTCCAGATCATGGCTGAAGAGTCTCTCCTAGCAGCAGCACCACACTAGGCATGCCAGTCAGGATCTCTGCTGTGCCTTACGTTTATTCCATCTGATTTTTCTGCAGATGAGGTTCATGTAGATTAGCTGGGTTACTCTGACTGCAGGCTGAAGAGGTTCAGCGTCAGTTCCAAAGACCAAGCTAAAATGTAGGTGACCACGGCTTTGGCCCCGTTAGGGCTTGGTTGGTGGTGTTTCTGGAAGGCATGCACGGTGGGGCCCATTGGGACTTGGCTGCTGCTCATCTCCACGCCTTCTTGAGACTGGTTAGATAGAAATGGGAGGTCCCAGTCAGTGTCTTCCCATCCTGGTTGGTCTCTGGAACATTCAGTGCCTAACAGCCAGCCTGTGGAGATTTTGTAGGTTCATATGCCTGTGTGGCCAGGGACAGGAGTCAACAGGACTGCACAATTTGGAGAAAATCTGGAACTAGTGGTTTGACTAGGTTACCAAATGCATTTTTAGTTGAACGTTTCCTAACCTCTGGTGCCCACGTTGAGCCAGATGACTTCAGAAATAATTTGAAACTTCCACAAAGAGGCTATAATTTGGTTAATGTTCAAAAAGTTAAAGGTTATCACAAACCTCATTCCCCATGGCAGGGTTTATCCATTTCTTTCTTGGGGGCTTCTCCAAGGCTGTTTCGGGGAGAAGCTTACCCATCCCACCTCTCCTGAGCATCACTAGGTGGTTCTGGCCCAGGAGAGCAGAGGGCTGGACATCAGGCAGAAGGAATGCCCTCAGAGAGGGGTCAGGCTGCCTTGTGCCCTGTCCCATGGAGACCACCCTGCAAAAACTTCGCAGAGCAAGTCCCTGCCTTACCAGGGAGATCGGAAGAAGAGGGGCTATCACCAGACTGACCTGGGGAAGGTGAGTCACAGTCGGGTCTATCCTGTTCGGTCCGCCTGCCACAATCCCCTATCCGAAGCCGCGCAACCCAAGACCAGAGCCTCGGCAATGCCCCGTCTTACCGTGCTGAGCTTTTATTGTAGAAACGTGGCCCCACCAGAGGTAGGGGTGTGGATCCCGAACACCTCTCCTCGGTGCCTGAGCAGGAGACTGGGCACCTGGCTCCAGGTGGGACCCACCGGTACCCCATATCCACGCCCCATCATTTCCCCTGGGTGGGTGCCACCCTGTCCCTCCCCAAGGTCATCTTTCCGAAGTCGGGATGCAAGCGGGGTCCTTTACTGCCAAGGAGCAAAAGGTGGAAGTAGCCGCGGGGATACTGCCTCGTGGCAGGGAAGTCAGTGTAGGCAGCTCGTGCGGGCTTTGCTCTTGCGGGAGTCAGCAGGCTGCAGGCAAGGCTGCTGCGCCCGGGCAAAATAGTTCTCAGACTGGACCAGGGGTACAAGTACCCAGCCAGGGAATCCCAGCCAAGGTCCCTTAGCGAACCGGAAACCTATACAGCCTCCCTTTGGCCTCAGGGTTGCCGCTCTTAGTTGGAAAGGGCCGGGGGGCAGCGACCTCTGGCGTCGAGAGGATTTGATCTGGCTCCGTCTGCTGCTCCAGCGCTGCAGATCACCCGGCTCCTGCAGCCGCTACACTGGCCGCGTTTTCCAGGGTGTGCGGGCGTCGCGCAGCGAGCGGTCGTGGGGCAGAGCGGCAAAGGCCGAGTGGCGCAGCTGACAGCCGATGAAGAGGACGACGAGAGCCACGGAGAGCAACAGCAGGAAGAAGAGCAGCAGGTAGGTAGGCAGGTCGGGCTTGGTGGCCGTGCTGTCCCGCATACCGTGAGCTGTGGCTAGTTCCAGCGGCAAAGCGCCCTCTGCCTTAACCGTGGCTCCGGGGGCCAGCGCGCTGCCCACCGCCGCCTCAGGGCTCCCAGTGGCGTTGAACAGGTCGCCGTACATGGCCCGCTGCTCCCTCCTCACTTTGTCTCACACAGCCGATTGATCCAGTACCTCCATGGCATGCCCCACTCGTCCTGCTGTGTGCCACTGACCACAGTCGGTGCCCTCGGACCAGCGAGGGGATGCTGGTCCTGGGGACACGTCCTCTTGCTCGGTCGCCTCCGTGCTCAGCCACCTGGCGCGCGGGGCGGCAAACCCCCACACTCAGAGCTGCTCGGCTCCGTGTTGGTGCTCCTCGGGCTTCCCGTTTCTTGCAGGTGCCCCCAAGACAGTGGGCGAGAGTCGCCAACTCTTCTCGCGGTTTCCCAGCCGCTCTTCCAGCTCAGACTCCAGCTTCGGGCTCAGGGAGCCAGCGGGAGATGCAGAGCGCACCAAGGGCAGGTGGCCTGGAGCTTGCTGCGTCTGCCGGTACAGCCCTGCAGCCTAGGCTCCTGCCGAGAGCACAGGTGCGCTGCTAGTCCGTCCTCACCCGCAGGCGGCTGCCTCCTGTCTGAGCAGGAGGAGACAGCTCCCCGGAGGCTCCCCGGAGGCTTTGAGCGCGCTAAGGGTCAGTGGCAAGGCGGGTGGAGGCGCTGCTCCGGGAGCGGCTGCTCACCAATGAGGGAGAGAGGCTGGGCTGTGCCCGCCCTGACCCAAGCTCCCACTGCTTGCCAACACCCGGACACACAGGACGTGCAGAGGGTCCTGGGATGGCTGCAGCAAAAAGACAAGGAACAGGGTGTCGCTTGGCACCAAGAGGCGACTTAAACGCAGGTCTCAGTGGACACCAACGTCTGCTTCCTTGGCTTTCAGCATGGCCAGGTTTGCTCCCAGCCCCTGCAGGTTGCTGGGTGGCTCTGGGCACGCCTGGCCGTCGGGCGGAGCCTCAGAAAGACTGCAGGAGCTGGGGCCTCGGGTACACAGCGGGAGCTCTCTCGATTAGCAACCCTCGCTGTCAGTGTCCTGACACAGAGGGGCTGTCGCAGATCTCTCTGGTAAGACCACCATCCGTGGGCAGCCCTGGCAAACCTTGTGGGCAGGGAGGAGCTGGCAGTCTGTGGGACTGAGGGATGGCAGAGCATGGAAACGTCTGCCTTTTTAGGAGTCCACCTTTCCACTTCCTCTAAGAAGCCTTCCCAGCTCCCAGGTCTAGAATGAAAACCAGCGGTCTGGGTCACCCCTGGTGGGCCTGTAAGGAGGTTAGGGCACAGCCCAGTAGGACACAGTGCAGTGTTCGAGTAGGTGCTTCCCCCCAGCCCTGTCACCTGCTGTACCTGAGACCCTCCCAACACCAGTCACGTTCACATCCAAATCTCTGCTCGCCTGTTTTCATCTCCGTTTGAGGACTGGATTCACAGGGAGGCTCTGGTGGCACTGGCAGCGAGATGAGGCAGGTGTCCTCTTAGCTCCACCCCTGCTCTCTGAACACAGGCATGGTGAGAGGAACCAAGGTGTGCGAGGCTGACCTTAGCTGGAGCTCATCCCCACCACCCCTGCTCAGCCCAGCAGACAATGCCCCTGCAAACAGCTTTGAAATTGGAGTCCCAAGTCCTAACTGCTGAGTGCTGTCTGATGAAAATACTTGGAGGCCTCCTGCTTGTTGTGCTGGTAGCCCTGTGGCCAGGCCTTGTGTGTAGGAGGGCAGAGGGGGTGGGGTGGACGCCCTGTGCCTGGAGTGGAGGGTTGTGTGGAGGGTAGGGCCCAGCAGGAGTCAGCACCATCACATCTTCCTGGTCACCGTCCTGAGAAGCCCCGCGGTGCCCTGGAGGGCTGCCTGGTGTGCCCACAGAGCAGGCGTGGGGCCCTGGAACTGGCTGCTGTCGCACAGGCCTACACTGGTGTTTGCAGATGTTGGCACTGAGGGGGGGGCAGGGCTTATCTGCATGAGCACAGGGCACCACTCTCAGCCACACATGGCAGCAGCAGTGGCCACTCAGCAGAGGGGTGCACATCCATCTCTGACCTAGTTCGGGTGGTTTTGTTAATTTTTCTCAGCCAACAGAATCCTGGAAGACACTTTGAAAGCCGACAGGCCTCCTGCCTGGCGCTGTCAGCTGTAGTCAGGGAGATGCCTGTGGCTTTTGCCCTGGCAGGATCCCAGCTGCAGGTAACTTGCTAAGTCCTGGGGAGACTTGGGTGCTAGGCTGGAGTTACTCCGTTTTGACCTGGCATTTTATTTTTTTATTTTTTTTTAATTTATTTTTATTATTTTTTTTATTGGAAAGGCAGATATACAGAGAGAAGAGACAGAGAGGAAGATCTTCCATCCGATGATTCACTCCCCAAGTGAGCGCAACGGTCGATACTATGCCGATCCGAAGCCAGGAACTTCTTCCGGGTCTCCCACGCGGGTGCAGGGTCCCAAAGCTTTGGGCCGTCCTCGACTGCTTTCCCGGGCCACAGGCAGGGAGCTGGAAGGGAAGTGGGGCTGCCGGGATAGAACCGGTGCCCATATGGGATCCTGGGCGTGCAAGGCGAGGACCTTAACCACTTGCCACTGCGCCGGGCCCTGACCTGGCATTTTCTCCTGGACTTTGTGTGGGCAGCACCCTGGCTTGCATATACCACCCATGGTACCAGGCAAATGTTCTAAGCGGAACCTGAACAGGCCCCAGCTTGCACTATCTAGGGAGGCATGGTGGTGGGTGATTGTCACAGTGGAAGCACACAGTGCTCATCCAGGAAGCAGGTGTGAGGAGGGCAGCGTGCTAAGGTTAGGTGCAGCTCTACTGCTCATTTGGGGCACTACCACGGCTCCTTCCCCGCCCACAGCTGCTGTTGTTTCCCGCCAACACTGCTGCATTTCTCGGAGGTGAAACAACATACGGAAGAGGAGCTGAGGCTTGACCCTGGGCCAAATCTGCACACCGGCCATTCTCGTGAGCAGCCTCCTGGTACAGGGCGGCTCCTGGAACTGCTGGCCCCTGTAGAGGGGCTCTGCAGTCATCCTGGTTCCCCTTATCAACCTGTGAGAGGTGCCACCATCTCCTGTTGTCACAGTGGAAGCAGAACCCAGCAGTGACATTTGCCAGGGTGGCACAGCTGGGGTAGGGTGGTACTGGGGCCTCACATCCACCTGTGTACCCCACCCCCACTTCCAGGGTTTTCTCTCCTGAGATGGTCCTCCACAAACCTACAGCCAGATTGCCTTTCCCCACCCAGCCCCAGGAGATCAGAGGAGATGGCTGGCCTTTTGTTGGGGAGCCCTTAGGCTCCCCAAGTGGTGACAGCACTGATTCTTGTGCAAAAGATGCTCAGAGCCTGGCATGGAGAGTCACGTTCCCCGCACACCGCCAGGCAGGAAGTGAAGCGAGGCAGGCGCCGAGCAAATGCATCCACAGAGTTGACACAGCTTTTTATATGCCCATGTGACCTGCCATTAAGGGAGCTGTGTGTACCCATACATTTCCATCTTCAGGGGAGATTACGAAAGGGGGCGCAGAGGTCAGCTTTGACAGGCAAGGGGGGGTCACAGGGCTGAGGCCCCAAGGCGCCTCTTTCCCATTACGTGGCTGTTTCGCGTGGCCCACGTGCCTTGCCTGCTGCCCGCCTATGACCTATGCCAGGGCTGGGGAAGGCTCAGGCACCCTTCCTGCCACTACCGATGGCAGCTAGATCTGGGGAGTATCCAAGTCCCGGGGTTTCACAAGCAGTGCCAATGCAGCCCGTGGCACTTGGTGGAGCTGGTTCTGTTCCTTCCATGAGTGCCTGCAGATGAATGAGGATTAAAGTACCCAGTGACATGGGTGGATAGGTGGACAGACGGACGGGCTAGGAGTAAAGGTCAGGTGCAAAGAACTGGTGTCTGGAGGGTGCAGGTCATTGCTGCCGGAGAGGGAAGGCGCTGTGGAGGGAGCGGGACCAGGCTGCTACAGAACAGAATGGCTGCCACTGAGTCCTCTGTGAAGACAGGAGAAGCCCCTGCTCACAGAACTTTCCTCAACCATTAGCAGCAATAGTTTGAGCAAGGGTCTTGGGGGTTTTAAGCCTTCCCTGAGCCCTCCTTGTTGGGTGGGAACCAAGTAAAAGGTCCCCCATTGGTGGTCTCTTAACCAATTAGGACATGGGTAGGCAATGCTTGTGCCACCTGCTTGGAAGTGTGGCCAAGATTTCAGCAGGCTTGGACTGTCTCAGTGAAGCTACCTCCCTATTGCTGCCAGGATGGACCAAGGGTTTTGGGATGAGACAAAAATGTGCTCAGAGCCAGGCCACTGCTCTGGCTGAGTCCTGGGGACGGGCTGAACCTGGGACAGAGCCACACGTGATGGAACGAGCAGGAGGACCTGGGAGTGGCACGTGGTTTGGGATCAGTAGGCTGGCTTACCCTAGTTGGGCTCCTCGTGTCCCTATACCTCCAGCCGGAGGTGCCAGGAGCAAGAAGTGCTCCTAGGGAGCAGTGTGGAGTCAGGGGGAGGGGTTCTGACGGCCAGGGAAGGTGCGCAGGCAGCATCCACAGCCCACCTGGGGCAGCAGTGGGGGACCTGTCTATCTCAGGACAGTGCAAGCCAGGGCACAGGGGCTCCGTCAGGAAGAACTCGGTTACTCCCAGGGTTACCTTTACTTAAAGTCTCCTTTGTGCCCCTCGGGCAGGATGCAACCTTCCTCCAGATGGTGCCACCGGAGTCACACAATGACTACTTCTTTCTTTATAGCTATTGTAACATGTAATTATTTGACAGGGAGGGAGGGAAGAAAGGAACGGAGGAGAGAGAGAGAAAGAATATGACTGACAGTGGGAATGGGCACTCCATGTGCTAGCTCACTCCCCAAATTGCAGCAATGCCAGGGCTGGGCAGGGCCAAAGCCAGGGGCCTGAAATTCCATCCAAATCTCTCACGTGAGTGGAGGAGCCCAGGAACATGAGCTGTCCCCTGCTGCCTCTCCAGGAGGTGCATCACCCAGGATGGAGTGAGGAGCAGCAGATGGACACTCTGATACAGGATGCTGGCGTATCCTGTTCAGTGTCTTAGCCATTGCCTCCAACGCCAGCCCCACCGGTCTTCTAATTCTGCTGACTATAGTGAGAACTTGATATTGCATTATGGGGTTTTGTCCTTTTGGGTCCTCCATTTTTGCACAGTGGATTCATTTATACCTGTGATGGGCCAAAAGTTCAAAAATACCCACAGTGGCAGTTCCCTGCTGTGAGCTGCAGCCTGCCCCACCCACCATCCCCAGCTGCACGGATGCAGCCTACCTCAATCATGGATTTAAGTTATTTGGGAAAAAATCATTGTGTCTACACTGATCATGGACAGCTATTTTTTCCCTGTTATTATTATTTCCTAAACAACACAGTGGTTAACACAGCATTTATACCATGCTGGCTATGCTGTGTTATACATTGACTGGAGGTGACTTTAAGTATTTGGAAAGATGTATGCAGGGTGGTTACGAATACCTTACTACATCTTATGGGGAGCCTTGAATTTGCTATCCTTGGTGTGCATGGGGGTCCTGGAATCACAGCCCACCCCCAGATGCTAAGGATGGCCACAGCACACCCCCAGTTCTCCTATGTGCCTGAGCCCCTCTCTGCAGTCAGTCTGCCCAGCTCCAGCACTCCACCTTGGCCACTTTCTGGGATGGCCCTGGCTTCTTTCCTTGTCCTTCCTGCCCCTGCCACTGGTGGTGCCATCTTCCCCCCTGCCCTACTGCAAATGCCAGGGGTAGACCTGGAGCTCAGGCTGGGGCAGAGGAGACTGAGGTCCTGGGGCTGCAGGTTCAGCCATTGGGCCATCAGGGCTCCAAGCAAAGTGAGGTCCTTTGCTCTGCTAGCCCTGAGAGTGGGAGTGGGAGCAGGGTTGAGGAGGCCACGGTGCTCTGGGCTGGCTGAGTCACGTGAGGAGATATGATTCTTTAAAAGAGTTTTAAGCGACAGAACTGAAGCTGTCCTTTATGTGGCATTTCAGAACCTAAATTGGAAACAGCATGGGCATTGCCATTTCCAAGGTGGTGGGAAGTCTGCATGCTCTCCACTCGGGCTCCCAGGCTAGCCACCAGGCTGTCTGCATCTTGGCAGGCTGCCTTTGGGAGGGGCACATGTGGCTCTCAGCACCCAGGTCTGCTGGGGAAGAGGATCCTTGCAAACTTGAATCTGGGGACTGGACAAGGATGGAAAGACCCCAGAACCTGCAGTCCTTCCAAATCTCCCACAGAGTAGAACGGGAGGTAAAGGAGAGGAGATTCTTTTGAGGGATAGCAGAGACCCAGCTATTTGGGAGACCATCCTGCTTGGGGCTCCTCCAGCCAGGGCCTGGGGTGCAGGGGGTTGGAGCCGGGACCCAGCCAGACAAGAGGGCAGCTGGGGAGGCAGGCAGGTGTCCCGTGGGTGGAGGGTCCATGCAGCGGCCATCAGTGTCACTGACTTCTGGGCACAGAGGCACCAGCGTGCCTGCCACAAGGCAGGAAGTAGGTGTGGGGACTCAAGCTGAGCTCAGCTTTTCTTCTCTGTGAGAGTTTGTGGATTACAATTTGCGTGAATGTACACAGAAGATCTTAAGTAAATACTGGCTGGCAATGACCTCTTGGTGTTGGATTAAGGTGGTTCTCCTTGGGTTCCTGTGGAGTGTTGAGGTCTGCTGGGTGTGAAAGGCATTGGTCTCGTGCCCGCTGGCTCTCCCTCCACCTTCTTTCCTCCAGTGTGTCTGCCCTCTTTGTGCTGGAGGGCCCCGGCAGGGCTCCTGTGTCCCTGGCCCCACTCCACACCTCAACAAGGGGCAATCCTGTGCCCTCTGCCACCAAACTGGAAGAGAAATCAGGCTTTGGGGAGACACTGTTCCTGCCTGCCCTGGCCAGGCTCAGCTGGACTTTGGCACCCCCTCACCCCTGAAATGTGGCCCTTTCTCAAAGTCTGCTCCTGGGCCCTGGGGCCTGCAGTGCTGGGAGTCCCTCACTGTGCCGGCATTCCCTAACATCCCCTAACTTCTACCGTATGATAACAACGCAGCAGGCCCCTTTAAGGACTCCCCACCTGGAGGGGCTGGAGATGAAAATAGCTTAAGGAGGCAGACAAATCTGGGGACTTCCACAGGGTTTGTGCCTACGAAGTGTCAGGTGACCGAGGACTATGGAACTCATTGCTTAACCACTGGTTATCCCAGAGGCCTGGGCCAAAGGTAAGACACAGTGTTGGCAGAGGGGTGGGGCTCCTTCTGGGCTCTGTCTGGGAGGTAGATGGAGAACAGGTGTGGCCAGAGTGGTGCTGGGGTACAGTGGGAAGGGTTTGTATTTGGTGCTAACTCCTGGGTTTTTCAGGCCCAGCAGTACCATCTCAAGGAACTTCAAAAAACAAGCCCAGCACTGGCTGATGGAATGCTTCCTCCTCCTCGGCCCTGTGCTTGTCCCCAACGGGGAATCAAGCAGATGTGGCCACCACACAGGGTTACCATGGAGCAGAGGAGGCAGATAACTTGGTGCTCGTCTGGCTGGGATGGAACTGACAGGTGCATCCATGGTGGGTACTTGGAGGTACTCAGGGAAGTGTGTGGGCATCTTGGTGGCATCTGTGAGCTTCTCAGAGAGTCCTGGGACCTCTTCCCTCTCTGGCCTTGAGCCCCTCTCAGCTTCCATTCTTCACCTTCTGGTTTGGTTCCCTCCATGGTCCATTCAGCTCTAGGCATGGGTGGGTGTCAGTGCCTGGGAACCCCTCACCTTCCATCCTGGCTCCACCTGTCAACTCCCAACCTCCCTCGAAGCATTCCAGAAAAGAGGTTCCCAGTGCAGCCCTGCCTCTGTCCACCTGGCAACCTTGGACATGGTTCTGGGCCACCTGCTGCCTGGGCCGTGGGGCTGAAAGCTGAATGGAGGATGCCAGTTGCTTTCCCTGATTTCAGTTACGCCGTGGAGTTTGTTTTGCTTTATCTCTGTTAGGAGCAGATTTGAGACTCAGGTTTAACAGGCAAGGGGTGCCCACAGTTTGAAAATGAGGTTGTCAGCTGTGTCTGGCTGAACGCAGATGGAGAAATTGAATAATGCATCACAGATGTGTTTATCAGTGTTTGGATGAATGGGGTGGGAGAACTGAAGGAAAATCTTCCAGTAATGCTGGTCATGTCTTCCCAGGATACGTCAAGTGCTGTTCCCACGAAGCTCATTCATCTACCCGGAGGCCAGGCTGAACTCAGAGCCCTGCTGGCCGTGTGGGACCCAACCCCAGTGCCCTGCCTCTGGTCTCTGCAAATTATGAGCTGGGTGAATTCATTTCCCACCCATTGCAGGGTTGGGAGTGTGGGTGAGTATTTGAGAAGCACTTGAGGTCTTCTCTCCAGAGCAGCACACCACAAGGTTAAGCACACATTCGGAATGGCACGTTAGAACTCCTTTGTTCTTTGAAATCTGCCCCTGGTCCTTCTGGGACCCAAAGTGACAAGCTGCTGGGCCAGCGTTATGTAAAAACACCCTGTGCCGGGCACATCTGCTATACGTGCTGACTGCTGTTGCTTCCGCTGTGTTTGAGCACAGGGTGGTGGGGCAGGAGGGACTGGGTTCCACCCCTAAGCCACACGGAGCCCCCAGTTATGCACAGGATACTCTAACATCATGAACCCCGTGTTACTATAACAACCATGCACTGTCTAGCTTGTGGAGGAATCCCTTCCTATCCCCCTCAGGGCTGGGCCCAGCTTCACTTCTTTTGCCACCACATCTGATGGTGCAGAGGTGGGGTGTGTGTGTGTGTGAGTGAGTGAGTGAGAGAGAGAGAGAGACTGCCTTTCCCTTCCAGGCATCTGGGTTTGTCACCCTGATCCTCCTCACAGGGCTGCAGAGCCTGCTGAGTCTGAGACCTCGTGAGTGATGGGGACCAGCGATATGCAACGGTCTCTCCAACACACACATGTCCGGCATTGTGTGGGACTGGGCGCCCTCTGGTGGCCGTCTCCCCACCCACACGTAGGCTCCTCTGTTGGGGATGGGGAGGGAAGCTCTTCAGGAGGGCTGGGGCGACCTCCCACTTGTCTCACCTTTCATGCCACTCCTGCTGACCTTAGTGAAGTTGGGTTAGGAGGAGGTGCTTGGAGGTGGTAGCTGGGGTCGTGGCTGCAGGCTGTGGGCTAGCATCCCCCTCACCCAAACACACTGTGGCAACTCAGCCCCTGGGGGGTTCCCAGCTCACTCCAAAATGGGGCACAGAGGCTCCCCAGGTGAGGCTGAGGTAATTTTTATTTCTTTCCATTTTAGGTAAAAATAGTAAATACAAGATAATAAAGGTAAAAATACATCATTTGGAATTTGGTGTTGCTTTCTAAACAGAGCTACCTACAGTACGATTTTTTGATTTAGGATTTTTAAACATTTTTTTATATAAACAAATAGAACTATGTTACTATTAGGCTATCTGTGTTCTCATCTGGCACTTAAGAGTAGGTCACAGGTCACCTCCCGGCTCAGCAGTCCTGGGGGAGGGTGGCGGTGCTGTGAGAAGGGGCTGGTGGGAGGACAGCTGGGTCTCTCCTGGACACCACAGCCCAGGGTGGCGGGAGTGCACGTTGTGCATCTAGAATGGCCTTTTCCTGTGGCGGACACAGGGGTGTGGACGTGCCTGGGGCACATTCCCTGCTTCTGTGGCGGCAATGCTTGAGCCCCGGCTGCAGAAGTCAGCCAAGGCCCCTGCTCCCTCGCTGTCCTGGGCATCCAGCTGGGCCTTGGAATGCTGGTTGGAGTCACTGAGGCCGCGGTGGAGGAGGGGGCCACTAAATGTCCTTGCCCTTGTTCACCCGCATGTGGTCTCTGTTTAAATTCTTGCCGAATTTGTCACTCAGCTGCTGGATGAGGTCTGCCAGCTCTCCAGTGGCTTGCGACTTCTCTTCCAACAGTTCGTAGCGTAGGCTGGAGATGTCCTGTTTGATCTCCTTGAGCTCACCTGCAGAGGACACACAGGATTGAGCTGAGAGTGAGCAGGGACCGTGGGGAAGGGAAGGGGCTCAGTTCCCTGGGCAGAGAGCCCTGGGGTGCAGGCCAGGCAGCCAGAGCTGTGTTTTGCCCCAAGTGCCACCCACGTCAGAAGGACAGGTGTGTCTACCACAGGAACGCTGTCCTGAGGTAGGTCCTGCACTCAGGGCACCTCTCACTGCAGGAGCGCAGCTGCCCCGTGGCGAGGGGTACGTGTCCTAGCACCTGTGACATTCGCAGGTAGGAAGGAGCTGAGCCTGCAGACCTCATTGTAGGGGCACTTTCCTGAAGATCTAACCCAGGAGGCCTTAGAAGTAGAGGAAGGAGGAAAGAGGACTTGGCAGGCAGAGCCCCTATGAGAGCAGCCTGCTGGCCGTGGGCTCCGGGGGCAGCTGCTTGCTGGCTGGGCTCTGAGAGCAGCCTGCAGGCCGTGGGCTCCAGGGGCAGCCTGCTGGCCGTGGGCTCTGAGAGCAGCCTGCTGGCCGTGGGCTCTGAGAGCAGCCTGCTGGCCGTGGGCTCTGAGAGCAGCCTGCTGGCCATGGGCTCCGGGGGCAGCCGCTTGCTGGCTGGGCTCTGAGAGCAGCCTGCTGGCCATGGGCTCCGGGGGCAGCTGCTTGCTGGCTGGGCTCTGAGAGCAGCCTGCAGGCCGTGGGCTCCAGGGGCAGCCTGCTGGCCGTGGGCTCTGAGAGCAGCCTGCTGGCCGTGGGCTCTGAGAGCAGCCTGCTGGCCGTGGGCTCTGAGCTGGGAGTGTGGACTTGAAGTCCACACTGAGCAATTCTGCTGCTATCACCTGCCTGAGCATGGACATCACTCAGCACCTGCAATGGCACAGACAAGATTTGTCTCACATCTCGGGTGTCAGTGGAATCCCCATGGGCTCGGGTTAATGGTTTTGAGGGGCGGAAACTTCATCTGATGCTGGTGCTTAGAGGACGTGATCAGATTAGGTCCCCAGAGTGGAGGCTGCATGACTGAACTCCACCTGTGAAGAAATCCTTTCCCTGATGCTGGCCAGAGCCCTGTGCCCCCAGAATCACGAGGCAAAGTGAACCTTTTCTCTTTACGCAGCAGCAGGCATCCATGTTTCATTAGAAGGAGGCAAGGCTGATTAGCACAGTCTCCAGCCTCGGTGCCCGGAGACCCGCACGTGACGTCAGGGCCACTCACCTTCGTTGACCTCGTCGTTTTCTCTGTCCACCTGGGCTTTCAGGACATATCTTTTTATGAGGCGTTTCATGATTTTCTAAAATGTGAAGAAAGAAGGAAAGGATGAAATCAGCCTTGATTGGCCTGAGGTGCCCTGCCTTGGGTAGTGCGATGCCTCCTAGCCCTGTGCCATGTCCCTCTCCGGGGTGCCCTGCCCTGGCAGCGTGGTGCCTCCTAGCCCTGCGGCATGTCCCTCTCCAGGGCTGCCCTGGCCTGGCAGTGTGGCGCCTCCTAGCCCTGCGGCATGTCCCTCTCCTGGGTGGCCTGAGTAGGATGAGAACCCAACCAGCCTCTGCCCCAAGAGCCAGTGTCTACCTGACTCTAGGATTCAGAACAGGACACCTGTCCCTGGCCAAGGTGGAGACTGGAAAAGGAGCATCTTGGCTCCATGGCTCTGTTCCAGGGCCCGTGTCCACCCTGACGAGGTCTCAGCTGGCCAGCCAGGGGCAGCTGCGTCCCTTAGGGGTGGCATGTGCAGTGTTTTTGAGAGGAGATCTGCACAAACCAGGCCCTGGCTTGGAGGACACTCTGCACTATATCTTGGAAAATCCCCGGCAGCTGCTGCACTGCCTACAAGGTGGAGGCAGGGACCTCAGGCTTCTCCAGGGAGAGCTGGCTTCCCACGAAATCCCACAGATCTGGCGTCACACTTCCGGCCACGCTGGGGAAGGCTCTGGCCCTGGAGTTGTATTTATTATGCAGAAGCTGTGCTCTTTAAGCGAATGAGGCAGGAGTCAACACTCAGCACACGCCAAGAATAGAGCCGAGTGTGAGAAGGACAGCAAGGAGCTGAACTTTGTATTTTGCCACCCAGCTTCTTGTCCCAGAGTTCTTGTGAAATCACACAGGGTTGGGGGTGGCAGTGAGGGGCAGAAATGTCTGGTGGTGGTTGTGCTGGCTCGTTCTCAGGAGAGCTGAGCAACAAGGATGAGCGGCCAGGAGCACCCTGCTCCACCCAGGTGAGAGTGGCTCAGCTGTTTGCACCTGAGGACTGAGGGAAGCGTTTTCCAGATGGCAAGGGACCTGGACGCTGTCGTTGCTTTAGTGTGTGATGCCTGCGAGCAGGTTGTTCTCTGATGAGATGGGTTCAAGGACAAGAAGGGGTCAAGGATGTGGATGCTGAGGGAGGGCTCCACGGATTTCATCCATCGTCAGCAGGCGATGGCTCTCTCCACGGTGAGGACTTGCCTGGTCCTGTACTTCCAAGGTTCCATAATGGTGCTGAGCCCTGGGGATCCCCGGCCCAGTGCTCCTGACCCCACCAGGCTCTGTGGGTAGATCTCAAATCCTGCCCAACAGTTACTGGGCAAGCTGCCTCCACTGCTCCTATTCAGTGAGGCCTGGGTCTGATCCCATCAGTGGCCTGCCCTGCAGCACTAGCCAGCTCCTATGAGTCCTTAAGGCAGATCATCCAGGTCTAATGGACAGAGACTGTTCCAAGAGACTTGGGCACTGTTTTCACTTTGAGTTGGAAAAACAAAACCAAAGTGTTGCCCCAAATTGCTCCTCTGGGAAAGCCCTGCCTGATCATTAACTCTGTTCTTACTCCAGAAGCCATTCAGATGTGTTCTTTCTGTGCACACCTACAGGATGTTTTGGGTTAAAGGGACTTAGTTATCATCCTCTGCCTCTTCAGAACACACCTCAAGCATCCTGCCTTTCGGGCTTTGTCTGTGAGAGAGTCCTGGTATTTTGGATGTGATATGTAGAGCCAGAGGCCGGGGTGAAAGCGGTGTGTGGCAGAAGCGTTTGCAGCAGTGGAAGTCCCAGCTGCTCATGGCACACATGGTGCTTGTTGGCCACCAGTACCAAGTGCGCCCCTGGCTTTGAGCAGAGATGGTGTCCACCAGCCTACTTCAGTGTGGACATGCCCTCCAGGGGGAAGTGACAAGGCCTTGGGTGTGTCCTATAGGCTCTGATCGTGTTGGCCCCTTCCCCAGAAGTGGTCTTACACCTAGTCCTCCCAGAAACCCAGGCAGCTGCCAGCCATCTGCATCAACAGGTGTGTGTGCATGGAGGCTCCAGGTTGGGTCTTTCTGTGAGAGAGATGACACCCTGTGTGGCTACGGCAGATAAAAGCTCAGATAAAGAGGAGAACATGACTGGAACGCTGAATGTGGCCAGAGAAGTAGGACCCAGAGGCTACTACCATGTTGCCTCCTGGAAAGAGAAGCTGAGGAATGTTTGGCTAAGTGGCCAGGTGGAGCTCAAGGCTTGAAACATACCAGAATGGAAGAAGGAAGCGGGGACCACTGCACACCCAGCAGAGGCTGCATGGTAGGTGTTCAAGTGCACGCCCCACCAGGCTCTGGGGGCCAGCCAGATGACATCACAGGGGCTATGGCCAATGGTTTATATGGGCTGCAGTTTCTTTGCCCAGCAAGAAGCATATCTCCTGTACCCCCACTCTCACCAACTGGCACCCTGACCTTGGAACAGATCCCAGGGTAGCTTTTAAAGGGGGCACACTTTGGCTGTTGCCACAATATCATGGGTTGGGTTCCACTGTTTGGTCTCATATCCAGAGAGCTGGACTGGAGTAAAGCAAACAAAAAGCACTGTAAAAGCAAGAAACTAGTTTGTGGGGAAGAAAATGATAACAGGCCCTGTGGGTACCCTGGAGTCCGAGTCCAGACAGCCTGGGAGTCCACTGGAGGGGCGTCCCCAGGGCCTCAGGTCCCTCATCTGTCACATGGGCCAGGGACTGAAAGCACACGTGGCTGGGGTTCAGCCTGTTCCTGCTGTCCTTCAGTGTTGTCTATTCCACCGGCGAGCAGGGGATGGCTCAGGAGGTTGCCCGGCAGGGACCAGCAGGGCTCAGTCAAGGGGGATGTCTGTATGAGCACAGGGTGCTCCCGCCCCTGGCTGCAGTGCCCTCGGCTCTTTCCACCGGAGGCCTGCTGCCTCCACCTTGGTTTTTCTTCCTTTTTCTGTGACAACTATAAATACATAACGGGCGGGCTTCCCTCTGCAGATTCAGAACATAACAAGGTGAGCTGCCTCTTTGTCAAGGTCGCCAATAGCCTGGGGTTGCACAGCGCCCGGGGTCTCAGAGACTTGGCGGGAAGTTCTTGGGGGTTGGAGAGCAGGATTTAAGCAGGCAGAGCCTGCGATGATGGGCGAGGGAGTGAGTGTCCCTGGAGCTGACTGGGAAAGGCCTTCCAGGACGTTCACCCATTAGTAGTCTTCATTTATCTCACAGGTTGATTCTGTTCAAAATCCAGGAGATTTGGCCCTAACTTGCTCAAGGTTTTCTATCTTCTTCTTGACAAGGATGATCTATACTCTTCTCTCAGAGGGCAAGAGGTTAAAAAAAAATCCTTCCACTGACCAAAGGATTTGGCCTGTAATTTAACTCAAAGCAGATCAAACTGGGCAGTTCCAATGTTGTGCACGATTAAATGTGAGATTTGCCCACTGACCCAGTTTTTAGTTTGTGTCATCTGATAAAATTTTCAGAGCTGAGCTGTTTCTGAATTGTACAGTTAAACCCTCCTCGCTGCCCAGCTGGCTTGAGCCCCTACAGGAGGGGTGACTCTAGGCTGCCGCATCTGTAATGGTTCCCTTTTGGGAAGGGGGATAGTTCTCCGGGCCGGAGGGAAAAGCTCAGGAGAGACTCATATTTACATGTGTGAACAAATGACTGGCGTGGGTCCACCTGCTGACCCCAGAGAGGCCATGGCGGGGCAGGAGTGGCTGTGCTTGCAGAAACGATAGCCCACAGCTGCCATCACTCAGGGGCTCCCAAGCGGGGCCACTACACGCAGCCTGGACGTGGGTGTTCATTCCCAAAGTGCTGCCGTTGCTGCAGGAAGTTCTGCTACACACCTTAGCGCCGTGGATATGGCAGACTTGCGGTCGGAGGCTGGTTGCTCACAGGAGACCCCAGTGTCTAGCTGGCTGCTTTTGGCAGACCTGGGAGCCACACTGGGCCCTCCTTGCCTCATTACAGCCCCCAGCAAATGCTCTCAAGGGAAACTGAACCTGTGTGTTGTCAACTCTCACTCCCCCATCCCTGCCCCTGTACCCCTACTGTCACATCCCAGCACCAGTGTCCCCACCTAGAGCAGTGAGGTGGCTTTCTAAAGGCGTGGAGGCAATGTCGTCACCTCTTTATCCTGCAACATAACCTCTACCTTGACCTTCTAATGAACTTGGATGGACTCCACCTGCTGCCCAGGGTGGGGTGGAGGCTGGTCTTGTGGCCCTGACCCTGCCTGGGCCCCTGTGGCTCTGTGCTTGCCTCGCATCTCCTGCCTTTCTCCTCTACCCGGTAAGCCCCCCGCCCTCTGAGGTCCTTGCTTCTTGTCCTATCCCTGTGGCGGCTCCCCTGGATCCCGCCGTTCTGAATATTGCTTCCAGCTTGGCACTCTGCTCAATCTGAATCGCTTCTTGTCTGTATGTTCCCATGTTTGCGGGTTCCCATCCTCCCTCCCCACACTTAGGTGCCACTAAGGCAGGAACCCCGGTTGTGGCCACAGGAGGTTCCTGGTGCACCGCAGCCACTCCAACCATTTTGTTCAGTGAAGGCAAGGCTGAAGCTGTGTTCTTGGGACGTGACACAGCCCCAGGACTAACCCCATGTCTTGATGGCATCTACTTGCGTCCATGCTTGTGAAAGGGGTAGTTACCTGGTATCTGGTGGGCTTGCTGAAAGTGTTATTTGCTGTCAAGTTCTCAGCATTCCTCATGCCAGCCTGGTAGCGAGTCTTCTGGAGGGTGAAAAAAAAAACCCACAATCACATTTGACTGTATATATACCAACATATATGGCGGGGCTTGAGCAGTGTGCAGGGAGGGGGTGGTTTCCCTGGGGGCCCTACTAGCATGCTGTTCTGTGTACGCTGTTCTGAGGACTGTTCCATGCAGGTGAACCAGGGCCATGCGATAGAGTTTGGTCAGCTTCTGCACGCACAGCTATGTGGTTTTGTGGCAAATACCGATACTTTTCAGCAGGGGGCGACAGTGGGAAGGGAAGCTTTTCCTCAGTTCATTGCCAGGAATGGCTCTACTGCAGGCCCCAGCTGCTCAGCCAGGCACCCTGCTGCATCTCCTTTTCCAAGGTCCTTCCATGAGCAGGTCTGGTGCCACAGGCAGCCTCTGCTGGGTTTTGGGGCCTCTGCTGATGTGCCCAGGGGATGGCACGAAGCCATGGCTCCTCCAGCTGCAGCTTGCAAATCACACACACCAACTCCCTTCTCCCCATACCCCAGAGGCTACCTACCCTGAATTTGGAGTTGAGCATGCCCATTTCAAGGTCATTTTCACAGCTTTTGGCCTTAGATTTGCAGAGTTTTATGAGGCACATCTTGATTCTCAGTATGAGATAGTAAAATGATTTAGGACTTGGCACTAGGTTGAAGGGAGCAGGTAACGTTCGTCCCTCATCAAAGTAAGACAGCCAGAGCTTGGCGCGTGCAAACTTCCACTCCACGTCTGCATCCTCCTGTGGGGCAAGGGAGACCACAGTACCACCATCAAAGGCCACCACTGAGCCACCGAGCCAGGGCCGTGGTGCAGAGCAACGTGGCTGACTCAGACAGCACCTCTCCAGCTGGGGCTGCAATGTCCTGGGGCTCATCACTCCCTCCCCACACAACCCAAACACTGAACGTCCACTCTGTGTACAGGTGCACGTGTCGCAGGCCCTCCGGAGGCTCTCTGCTGACCTGCTGGGCACTCACTGCAGCCTCCTGGACACGGGTGCCGGCCTTCCCCACCTGCAGCTTCCCACAGCTACCCCAATGTGTTTTCCTCTGATTTTGGCAGCTGCGCTCGCTGGCTTGCCACTCACCACGATAGTGAGGGACGCAGCCTTTGGAGCGGTGCTGACCAACAGACATGAGCCGCCAGGTAAGTGTGGATTTTCTACCAGTTACGTTACGTATGGTAAGCAGAATCAGAGTCAGTGATGTCATTGCATTTGGTCCATTAGATTCTGTTTTTCTAAATATATAACTATTGTAAAAACATTAATAAGCACGTGGGAGACCCAGAAGAGGCTCCTGGCTTCGGATCGGCATAGCATCGCCGTTGCGCTCACTTGGGGAGTGAATCATCGGATGGAAGATCTTCCTCTCTGTCTCTCCTCTCTGTATATCCGCCTTTCCAATAAAAAATAATAAAAATAAAAATCTTTAATAAAAAAGATTATTTACTGCAGAATGGGTAAAACAGTAGCATGACTTATAGGCCATGATTTATAGGATGTTCCCAGCCTCACCTCAGAGGGGCCCTGTTGTGCTTTTCTTCAGGGTCCTTCAGGGACTTTCTCTTGTTCATGCTTACCCAGTCACACCTGAGTGTGCAGTCCTGTGTCTTAACACGACAGCACACACAACGTGCAGTGGGATAAGACTAGATTCTGTTTACACACAATGGAACTTAGAGGTCTTTCCGCTCCAGCACAAAGAGCGTACCACTGTTCTGAGAAACTGTCTTAAGTTGAACGAGGTTCAGGCCTGACTCACTTTGTCTCCATTTCTAGCCAGTCTAAACACAGCTCAAGTCAGTAGCTCCTGGTTTGTGTGCTTTCCGTTTTGATTAATTGCCTCCTGCTGCCTTCTCTTGACCCTCTTATCTGTCTGGCAAAACTGTTTTTATCTTTAAATGGCCTTTGTGCCTCCCCGCCGGAACCTTGCTCCCTGCCAAGTCCATCACTGTTATTTGTCCCTGCCTGAACTCGGTTGCACTGGCATGGTGATTTGTTGAGGGCCACGTGAGTTTTCCTTGCTGAACTGCAGTGTTGTGGGGGTTGGGAGGATGCTCCGACAGTGAGAGGACGATGTGTTAGTCCATCTCCACACTGCTGGTGCCTAGCACAGGCCTGGCATGCAGCACCCTCGGATCAGCAATCACGTGCTAGGTTGACGGTGCTGTGGGCTGGTAGACAGTTCTGCTGTGCTGTGGGCCACCTGTGCCCTGTCCCAGGAGGAAAGAGTCACAATCCTGGTTCCTTCCGCTCTCAGTAGGGCCATTTTGTGTGGCTGGTGCCGGCTGTGCCATGGGATGAGCTGGCTGGAGGCTCTTTTCTAAGCAGTGAGGGCACTCCTTGGGCAGGAAGAGTCCCTGCTGTTTGGTGCCCTGGCTTGCCCATGACTAACACATGCTGCCGTCACCGTCCCTGCTGTGCTCGGTAGCAACGTCCAACCCAGGGGACAGAGCGCCTTGCCCATGAACTGGCCTTACCTCGATCTCCTGGTAGGAGTTGTTGATCATGGCAATCAGCATGTTGAGCAGTACTACCACCATGGTGACGTTGTAAACACCATAGAGAACGTAGCCAATGTTCTCGATGAATTTGTGGTCGTATTTCAGCACCACCGAGATCACTTCAGACAAGCCAAATATGGACCAAAATAAGGTTTTGAAACTTTCTTCGACCCTACAAAGGAAGCAGGCAGTCCTGTTACAGTTGGCATGGGCTCATGCTTTTGTGGCAGAGTCCCCAGCTCCACCAGAGGGGGTCAGGGCTGCTGGGGGTTGAGGCTTCAATCTCAAGTAATGAGCTGTTGAGATCTCTGCAACTTGGAAAGGGTGTTGCAAAGGGCAGCCCCTTCTTTTCCATCCCCTCCACTCACTGGGACTCCTGGCTGTGCTATCATTCTTATCTGGCTCTTATTAATTAAAAATTTAAAATTAAACACCAGGGCACCAGAGTAAATGTTTGTTCCTGTGTATTATTAGCCTCAGAAGCACACTCTTGCTTGCAGTGGCTCTTAGATGTCCTGGATCCCCATGAAGCAGAGCCATGGCGGTTCCCTGGGGGAAGTGGGCGGCGTCCAGAGACCGAGCTGGCATCCCTGGCGCCTTGCACCTTGCTGGGCACTTCCCGCACAGCAGCTCACGTCAGCTTCCTGAGCACCTCTGCCATGGGCTTCCTCCTCATTCCCTTCGGGTGACATACCTGAGCCAGACAGGCATATTCAGTCCTCAGCTGGGGCCGAAGGATTGGAAACAAGGGTGGGGGGGTTTGGTGTGACTACCCAGGTAGGTGCCTGAGGCCCACCGCAGCTCCCCAAGGCGGATGTTGTACATTGTGTGAGTGTGGATTGGGGGACTGCTGGGTTTCAGGACCCTGCTCTCTGAGCACTCGTGAGTATGCAGCTCCTGAAAAACAGCAGTTTTAAGTTAAGTTTCAGGTTCATGTCAGAGTCCCTGCCCCATGGCTGTGAACCCTGGGTAGGGTTGATGGCACAAAATCCACACGTCGATGATCTCAATGGGTAAATGCAGTCTTTCAGTTTGTGGTACCCTTATGAGAAAGCACCCCCTACCACCACCTTTTAGCATTTCAGGCTTTCGACACTCACCCACAAATGGCCAGGATTAGCTGCATCTCAAAAAAGATTTTACAAAAATCTGTTTTGGAAGGACTGGTATTTACTTGACAAGATGTACAAAAATACTAGTACTCATCCCTCGGGCTCTGAGATCCAGCGCCTGCATGCGTTTGCAGTTCTCGCAAGTGTGACTGCGCAGGTGGTGGGCGGGATGCGTGTCTAGCCAGCTGTCTGGCTCATTCCTGATGTGTTCTCGAGTCTGCAGAACTCATCTTGGAAGCGGGTTTGTGTTGCCATGTTCTGTTTTTGGTGTCTTTGACAGCTGTGGGTTTTGCCAGCTGAATTCCTCTTTGTGCTAGCAGGAATTTAGCTGGGGGTTGGAAGTTAATAACTGGGACCGAGCTCCTGCCCTGGATGCTACTGCAAGAGGGGTGGACGAAGTGGCTTTCGCATGCGAGAAGTAGGATCCACTTGCATGGGAAAGCTCACTCACTGCATGGCATGCTCACCGCGGGATTGTCCTCCGCCATAGCATGAGGTTCTGGTTGTCCCCCTGGTAGACGAGAACAGTAGCAGGAAGAGTCCCAATTCACTGGGTGAGCCCCTGGCTCCAGACTGGAAGGAAGTAGCAGGGCTTCAGCCTCCAGCAGTTGCTCCCTTCCTGGCAGGACTGACTGGAAATCCGAGGCTATACACCTGAGGGTGGAGTTGGGGCGCACAGGGGCTGGTCCGGGGTCAGGCACTGGCCATGCACAACCTGGGACTTGCAGCATCCTTGCTGTGCTTGAGAACTGTTCCTCCTAACTCAGCCTCGCTGTCTTCCCTGCACCACCCTGCAAGCCTCTGGCTCATACGAATGAGGCAAGTGATGGCAGGACCCTTCCGGGGTGCCTGCTGCATTTGGATCAGGGAGAATGGGCCTCAGGTCAGCGTAGACATATGTATATTTTCTCATTTTTCTTATTCCTTGAATTCTGCCACCAAACCCTGATTTGTACTTGGCACCTCCACTTAAACATTATGCTCTAATAATTTGAAGAAGACAGAGCTACTCTGGGAAGCAATATTCCCACAAAGGAATATCGACTGGTCTCTAACCCTGTGCCACGGGCCCTCCACAGCCAGTCCCCCTCGCCGGAGACTGTTGGGCTTGCTCGGAAGGCTGATGTGTTTGGTTGTGTAGCTTCCAGAAACTCTTCATTAGTTTACACCAGTTTTACTTCTCATCTGTGGCTTCTCATCTGTGGACTCTGGACTTAGACCTGGCCGGCATCTCCAGGAGACTCTAATTACAAGGGGCCCAGAGTCCCTAAGGTTGCTAGACTGAAAGCCACACCCTCCTTCAGAGCAAAACCCAGTTACAGACTACTGAGTGGGAAAGGGTCTGAGCCAAAAGACGGCATAGAAATGCTTCCTTCTAAGCGCTTGAAGTAGATCACCTATGGTTTCTGCTTCTACGGGTGGAGCAAAATGAACTAGGCAACCAAGTTCTTCCTTACAAAAGTAGCTGCATCGCCTATATGACAAGTCACTGCTTTTTCTGGGGGCCCTAGACATAAAAATTCAGTGGAATAACCAAGGAGTTTCAATCTAATGCTGTTATTGGAGGGGATACTGCAGACTGAGTTATGCAATTGGCTGGCCTACACTGTAAGCGATATTTTAATCTATAGTTTATACCTGGGAAGCTAGCTCCTTTTAAAAAAATGGTGATAAGAGATCTGCAGTTGCCTGGAGATGTCATGCTAGTGTCATCTTGTGGTTTAATAGGTGACAGGAAAGGAAAATTTGCATTGTTTTGATCTTGGACACCTGCAGTGACAGTCTCAGGGAGAAGGTTGGGCTTGGAATGAAGTCAACGGGGTGTAACTGGTCCCCAGAGTGCAGGATTTGGAGCTGGCAGTTAGGATTGTGTGGGGCCGTGGGAGCCAGGGATGGGGCGGAAGGCCGGTCATCGGGGACACCTTTCAGCAACTAAAGGTCTTGCAAGACCTTTACTGCGCCACCCCTTGGCTCGCAGAAAGCCCTCAGTGTCAACCAGCTGGTGCTCGGCTGAACCTGAAGGTCTTTACTAGAACATCGGCAGCTTTGGCTCCCAGCCTTTTCCCACTTCCCTTTACTGGCTGTGCAATTTGCCAGAGATCCCTTCAACTCTGTCACTCAAAGGAGGCAGCACCGAGACAGCTGAGAAATAAGGGCAAAGGTGCTCACCTGGCTTCAAGTCTCCACGGCCGCATCAACTGGGGCCCGAGCCCCAGCTACCCTTACAGTAAGAGCTCTGCTGATGCTAGCTATTACCTTGAGCTGTTTACTTAGTCAACTGAGCTGGGACGAGGTGCCAGGTACTCCACCAGAGGACAGAAATACACTGATGTCTACAGCAAATGTATTTCTCCCCCTTTGGTGGTCTCAGCTTGAAAGAAGAAGACAAGGGGCCCAGTGTGGTAGCCTAGTGGCTAGAGTACTCATCTTGCATGCTCAGGGATCCCATATGGGCACTGGTTCATATCCCAGCTGATCCACTTCCCATTCAGCTCTCTGCTCATGGCCTGGGAAAGCGAGCCAACACCTTGGGACCCTGCACTGGTGTCAGAGACCCAGAAGCAGCCTCTGGCTCCTGACTTTGGATCAGCTCAGCTCCAGCCGTTGGCAGCCACTTGGGGAGTGAACCAGTGAATGGAAGATCTTCCTTTCTGTGTCTCTCCTTCACTCTGTAAATCTGGCTTTCTAATAAAAAAATAAACAAATGTTAAAAAAAGAAGAAGAAGAAGAGAACTTGAACAAAGTTGAAAGCCAGGGCAGGCTGTCTGTCGCTGCCTTGCCTACGCCTCGGGTGCTTCCCCCGGGACTGAAGGCAGGGAATGACTGGCTGCTCATTGACTTTCATGAATATGTGTCATTTTCCTCCCTACCTGCAGGCCCTTGATTTCATGCAAATGCTCTGGTTTCTCCAGTCCGGGCTGTCTTTTAATCTGTGACTGTCTGTCTGAAGGTGATCTATAGGCCACCCGAGCATGAGAGGCGCTGCTAACGAAGGCAGAGAGGGAGAGAGCCTGCCAATGAGGCCGTGAAGGGGGGTGTGTGGTGGTTGGTGTGTGTGTACAGATGTAGGCTGGGGCTGACTTATCATGCAGGAAGGGCGGGCTAGACAATCAGTAATCAGTTCTCCACCAGGGCTGTCTCGCCTGTATAATGAGACTTTAATAACAGGTTCCCAAAGAGTGCATTGCACTTGTGGATGGGCTCAGAGAACAAACTGATCAACAGCCTGAGGCTTTGGGGCCATTGTTAGGGAAATTGCTGCTGCTTTCAGGAGGCTGCGACTCCCTCCTGCTCCCCGCTGAACAGTTCGGTTCATTTAACTACCCAAATCTGCACGGAGCAGCTGAAAAAACGCAGCAGCAGGTTCGGCTGTCTCAAAAGATTGTTTCTCCAGTTCAGAAGACAAGAGCGGACGTGGGCTAAGATGTTCTGCTTGAAAGGGGCAGGGCGCCCACCAGCCACCCTAGCCCTGGCTGCTGTGGTAGAGGGAGGTGTCAGGAACAGAGAAGGAGCTTGCTAGGGGGCTGAGTTCCTCCAAGACCACAGCCAGAAAGCCCGGCACCTCTCAACGCCTCTTGGCGCTGTTGTGGGTCCTGGATGATGCTTTTGACTGTTACAGCCCAGAACAGCATCTGACCACAGAATGGATGCTGAGGAAGTGGGGCAGGAAGGGTGGCATGAGGGGCCTGGGTCTTTCACAGCTGGCCGCAGCCCTGCCTGAGTACCACTTTTGCTGGTTGTGTCCCTGGAGGGGACAGCAACAGCACAGCAGTTTCCTGGCACTTTGTGACCTTGAAGAGTGACCCTTTCAGCCTTATTTGCATCCTGGAACTGAAGCTTGCTGAGTAAAAGGGAGAGGCTTCTTGCCGGTAGTGTGAGAACCAAGATGGGGGACCCAGGTGGGGTCTGAGACTTGGCAGGAAGCAGTTGATGTTGGGAAGCTCATGGGTGCACCGCCAGGCCTCCCCTCAAAACCCTCTGGCCTCTCAGCTGCTGCAGGGGCGCCAAGGCAGTGGGCTTTTAACACCCACATCAAGGATAAGCACGGAGAGCTCAGAAA